GATTCCCGGACTCCGCCAAGAAGCCCAAGAATTGCAAGGCACACCGGGGCTCGCTGGCTTCGTAGTTGCTATCCCAAACCTGCCGGTCCAGTCCAGCTGACTGGCCCCCCCATCGAACACCGAATGGTCCGCACAGCTGACGAGGTCAACGAGCCACTAGCAAATGACGAAGAGAATCGGACCGTCCATAATGAACAGCTCTCCACCGAAGAAGGAATCCGCATTATAATGCATTATACAAAATAATTGGGTCTAAACGATTCTATGGGATTCTACCTGTAACCGTGGATGATGATGGTTCAGTTGCAAGCCTTGTACAAAAATAGTGATTTGCTTGTTTATTGACTGTCACTGGCAATAGGAAAGATTCTAGCAAAATATACATATATAGAGAGAGGCCCTGTAAAACAACATGCTCCTGGTGACAACCGCCACTTGGTAGGATCAAAACACCACCTGCTGGAAGGTCCGAAAATCGAGGGAAGAGGCTTCCCTCTCACAATCTGGGCGCCCAAGCAATGTAGCCATTTGAGATGGTGCCCACCGGACTGCCATTGGGCATAAGCCTCCAGTAGCCCTCAGCAGCGAAGCAACTCAGGTCTATATGTCATCTCAGAAGTCCAGGAAATGTGACCCCGACCTTTTCAAAAGAAAAAACGGCCTTGGCGCACTTTCAGAATCCACCCGCCAACTCCGCGAACTTCTACAGGTGCCCATGTCACACTGCCGCACTCCATCCTACTCCTGCAGTGATCCAACTCGCCCTCCATCCCCTCGCGACTCGCTCACGCAGCCAGGTGGCATCCATTTGCGCATTGAGGTGCAGCATCTCCACCAGTCGATGGTCCCGGTCAGGATCCCTGATTCGAACACGCGCGTTTCACGCGCGCACGATTCGGAGGGTCGCGCGGATTTGGTTGTGACACTGGAGGGTCACGTGACTCTGTCTGTGTGTGTGTTTTTGCTTGCATCATGTTGTTGTAAATTGTATAACCTCATATATAATTACTCATGTTTGTGGGGTATAGAATGATGGGCATGATCTACTACTGTCAAGAAGATATCAAGCAAGTCCTTTAACTTGGACGTGATTAAACCACACACACACAATCAAAATATGGGCACAGCAAGGGCCATTCCTCCTACGAAATGGTCCTCTGTCCACAAAGAAGAGGAGGAAGGTCACAATGTCAGAAAGGCTAACGAGTACATTCGCAGCTCCTTCTCCAGTACCACAGAGGTAGGGTCAGGGTACGTAAGATGTCCACAGTCCTCCGCTATAATCTTCAAACCTTCAAAAGCCCTTCCAGCCTGCAGGACCTCTGGACATTCTACGATTTAGATACTCAAGAAACTGGAATGCAACTCTTTAAGTTGTATAAGTTCCCCCCTCTCAGAACTCCTTTCCACCTTGTCTCTGGGCCACCAAAAGCCTTCGCTGGGCGTCCCGGGCCCGGTGAGACCGTTGGAGACGGGAGAGCTCACCAGGTAGCCCAAGCGCTGAGAGACTGACGCAGAACCCGACCGCGAGCGGAGAGTCACTTGAGTGAGATTGGAGACCGGAGCGGGTGGATAGAACCAATGAGCTTGGACAAACACTGTTTTGGTGCGTGAATCGATGGTGGAAAAAAGGTGTCGGCGTCGTTTCTCTCGCTGGGGCGGAATCGGTGTCATGTCAGAGCGAGCGATGTTGGGTTGATTTTCGAGATGCTGGGAGTTGGATGAAAAGTGAAAGTTGGAAGCGTTCTCTTCAAGGCCAAAGAATCTGATCTCGAACGACCGATCTCAGAGATGAGGGGAGACCAACACCTGGCCATCAGGCCAGGTGGTCGGGTCGAGAATCATCCGCCCCAGCAGGGTGCCCCCCACCCCTAGCTAGCAATGCAGGGTGCAAGAAGACCCATTGATTGCTCAAGAGCACTGTTTCAAGAGAACGGGTGAGACACTATAGGTATTGTCGGAAGGGCCAGGTCGGGTGCAGAAAATTGTGCTCTGGAGATATGCAAAAGTGTAGCTCCTGTAGATGACTCTTACATAGACCTGGCCAAATGGGGCATCAATCCTGAGGCACCTGCCATCGAACATTAGTGTCACAAAGGGAGCAGCACTATGGCTTGGTCATGCTTTGTCTCTAAATGAAGCATCCCGATGAGCCAGATATAGTCGCCACTGCCTCCTGTCCTGTTCTTGGAAAAGCCCGGATAAGAAACGCGCGGCCCAACTTCGCGCCGACGCCTCCTCCATCCAGCGCCTGGGGAAGCACGTATAGACTCGGAATAGACTCCGTTGCACCAATCTCTTCCAAAACTATCTAGACCGGGACCCGGACCCAAAATCTTATCTTGGCACTGAACTCCCAAAGCATCTAAAACCTCTCCTGTTCCGGTGCAAATGACCACAGCATCCCAACCTCAACTTCTCTAACTCACTTCGAAGGTTCGATATCTCTCCATCACCAGACCCGAACTCATCTTGGGAGATCGAACCTGACTCATCCCCTTGATCCATCATATTCTTGACCTTCTTAGGCTGAACCGCTCAACGTGGCCTCCACTGCTCCTTCTGACTCGGGAGGGGCGTTGCTTGGGAGATCTTTGAGGCTTTTGAGGGAACAAATGAATCGACTCACACTTCATGTCTGACAAAGAAAACATCTTTTCTGGATGGCGAAAAGGTGGTCTCCAAAAAGGTGGAGGCCATTGTGACAGTGCCGAGTTCCGTGAAAAGCGTACAATGTATATAGTTCTTTTCGGAAACATGTGCCAGAATTGGCTCTTTCACACACCACAAAACGACTAAGAAAGCATCGAATAATTATGTCCTGGGAGGTGTGTATGTATGTACAGAATGAATGGTCTCCAGTTTGAGGCCTTATCCCCCCCGGGGATTTCAGGAGTTGCAGTTCTTCAGCATCCTGTTCCTTCACCCAGGTGAGAACTTCATTCGGCACAACCCTGCTCCCAATGCCCCCACCCCGTTCTGAAACCCCCCCCAAAAGGGAACCTTCTAGCGCACGTGAACATTCCGGTCCGCATGGTTCTCTCGCCTGACCCTCATCAGGCTCCAGGATCTCAAGGGCTTTGGGTTCTTCATCCCCAAGGCCCAGGGGCCGAACAAAGTTCTTCCTGCGAGTCGGGACTCCGTCTGCCGAGTCGCGCGGCGCAGACGGAGTCTGTCACAGGGCGAAACGGGCGAATGAAGTCAAAAAAGGCGCTAAAGGTGCAAGGGTGGAGGCTTTGATGAAAATCCGGGCTTTGATGAAATGCTTGAAAATTCCTCAGACCTGCCCGTGGATGTTACACATCCTCTTAACGTTGTAGCCATGGTTCTATACTATACTTTCTTTGCTCCGTGTCGACACCGGTCAAAGCCCATCAGGCCTGAATTTTTCATCAGGGGGCCTCGGCCAAGGCAGTGCGACGGTTTCATGCACCACTCAGAGATGGGTGGCCGCAATAGGTGTTTAATGGTAGGGATGTCATCGGATATCATTGGTGTTGAACTCGCCCCGCCAAAAGCTGAGAAGCCTCAACTTGATGAACTGGTCTGAAAATAAGAATGCTACGATGTGGAAAAAGACCACCAGATGCGTAGCGAACAGGTTTACAGCTATCAAACCAACAGGTGCTGCAAGTTGTGTGTCATTTCGTTGGATCCCAGCGGGATGACAACAAAACCCAGTACCTTTTGGCTGGAGCAGCAGGGGTTGCTCTTTCAAGAGCATAGTAGTAGGGAAAATAGTCCATGCATGGAGTGGGATAGGTAATGATAGGTATCTATAGGTATCTAAAATACCTTTCCGCTGTTTCTTGATGTCCATGCAGGTTTCATGGGCGATCCCAACCCACAACAAGCAAAGAGTTGCCAAGTTCTATCGATCGCTCGCTGGCGCTCCGCCAATCGACGACACGCACGACGCACGACGCCGCTTGCTGGTTTCAGATCGAGTCAGGTGATGTTTCCGTGCGTCTGCCAACTTGTGTTGTCCAAAGTGTCTGGTCCATCAGTACCTCGAGACCAAGTGACACGCCCCACATCCTGAAACCTTGCTGCAAGCACCTGGAAGAGGACACGAACACCCCATCAATCTGGGAAGACTCTAATGGTAATGGCCTCCAACCTAATAGCAATGGCCTCCAACCTACAGTCCTGTGGACGTTTTTGTGAATCATTCGCACCCATCAATTTCGACCACTGAATCTCCTCCAAGCGGCACCTCGCCCAGCAGGCAGCGGCTGTCGCAGCTGGGCCATACCATGGGGGGCGACCAGCGGCGTGCCGGACCGAGGCGGACCGAGGCCGGACCGGTGTCAGGCCGGACCGGTGTCAGGCCCAGGTCCCGAAAAAGCGGTATCCCCGGTAGAAATGATACGGTGACCGTATGTGGCCCCCACATGTTGTAGCAATTGCATCGGTTTGGCACGGGAAAGTGGCTATAGTTATAGTACGTGATCGCTATAGGCGATGTTAGCAGCTTGACATCTTCTAACGATATTCGGACCGTGTGACCCGCATTGCTATCCATCTGTTGGAAGTGCCCCAGAGCAACGAGTCAGCTCCAAAAATAAAGAAACGTTGGGAAGAGTCAGCCCATCCAAAAGACCCTTTTTTCTGGAACAAGGTATCACCTTCCTCACCGGATGCTTCTGGATTTTCCTCAATTACCTATAGCAGCCACAGGTCACATGCTGCATTCACCTGCTTCACCTCGAGCCAGCTGCGCGCGCCGAACGGCGTCCAAAGGAAGACCATGATCGCCCCCGCTCCCTGCCGAACGAAACCCTCTCGGTGGGGAAGAAGGGGTTGATTTGGGTGTGCATCAAAATTAGGGAGACCTCCCAGTTCAACCGCCTGGAAGAACCAAAAATAGACCAGCCTAATTACCCAGCCAGGGCCAGAATGTCTCACCGATTTGCATGATCCGTTTTCGTCTACTTTTTTTCCTCCTCAAAAACTCCCACTTCGCCCCAACGTCCATTTCATTGGGCCGAGCGCGGCACGCTCCGGAGGTCAGGATCTTCTTCTCCATGCGATGTGGGTGAGGCCTCGAGGACGATGAAGTGAGGGGAGACAGTCTTGGAACAACCGAACTATGGGCCCAAATGCTTTTGGGAATCAATCTTTATGGGTTTGGCCATGCAATCAGGGCTGTCTGATGCTTTCTGGGTCTCAATTCGGTTCGGACCTGGATGTGGCTCGCTAGGCACCCCTGCAGGACCGAGAGGCCTCGGTGATCTTTCACCAAGGCGCCCGAGAGCCGCGGCAGCCCGGCGGCCTGGGGGATGTGGCCGGGTCCCAAAGCCTTGGAAGAGTGGGGCTTTTCGTAGACCAGGACCATCCTGGACATGGGCGTGCAGACTATCCTGCACTACTTAGACCCGGGGTCTCCAGTCAGGATAATCCAGACAGGATGGTCCAGGTATAGGGATCTGCATCTCTTTGAGTATTGAATCTCGAATCTGTTGGAGTATCCGCTTGGGAATTATCCATGGGCAGCTCAAAACATCTTTCCAAGTTTTTCCCGACGAGTGACTAGTGGCTTGAGGGGTGCTGTTTGATTCCTGGATGGACCCTTCTTAGCTGGCATGTTTTTGGAGTCACCATTGGTGTACGCCTGTAATAAAAGGAGCACGGATTACGGGATGGTTGCCTACCATGGATTTGGCAGTTGCGGATGTTTTGAGCTTGAGAAGGTGCTGAAATGCACAAAACGTCAGGAACCTCCGGTGTCTCAGCCTTCACACATGTGGTAAAACATGGTAAAACCATGTAAAACCAAGTGAAACCAGGTCAAGGCAGTTTTCTAAGCCACGTCAAAGCATGTCACGCTCGTGCTCCTTATCAAGCCTTTGATCGAAATGGTGTATATATATATATATACATATTTTTATTTATTTAATGTAGCGTTGAAAACACCGTTGAAACATGTTGAAACACCCGTCGGCACCGGTCAGACCAGCTCCTCGCCCCTCGGATCATGACTTACTGCCCCAGCGGCCAGGAGCCGCGGAAGCCAGGTCTCAATCGGATCACCTCAGCGACAGTGACATCCGTAATGGTTTCAATCGGACAGGCGGACGACATCCACACAGGATTTGGTGGTAATGGCCTGAGAAGGATGTTAACATATAGTATACAGTATATGTTAACATGTCTATGCCTATGCTTCTTAAGCAAAAGACCGCCCAAGTCAACGGAAATGGAATCCTCGAAAGAGATACCCTTCAAACATCAGCCTTTCCGTGACAAGGAAAATGCCCTCCCTCCTCGCAACCACATCCAGACGGGCTCTCTGGGAGCCCGCACGGACGCCCACGGGCGCAGGTGTCTGATCGCGAGTGCATGGTGCAAAACCGTTGTCCCAACAACCAGACATGCAGGAAAAAAGAAGAACCTGGCAACATCTGGCAGATACCCTATAGATTCGCGCTTTGGATGTTTGGGAACTTCTACTTCTGTGGTGGGCTTTCTCCAGGTAGTTGGGCCTGAAAGGCAACTGATCCCAAAACGCGGACGTTGTCCAGGACTCCCCTTCTGGAGATGTGCCATCAATCTCGGAGGTCTATTCTTCAACCCTCAACCTGACTGGTGATTAAGTAAGGAATGAGTGAATGGATCCCAAGGTATCTATAGTGTGGGGTCATTTTCTTATTCTCTACTAAGCACCAGTCAGCCACATTAGGGTAGCCATGTGATGTGATTTGACAAAAGCAGTCTCATGGAAGTGGGAAGCTTCGCTCAGCAGGTGGGCTTCTTCAATCCAAACATGACCACCGTAGGGACCCGAAGGGAGCGGAGCGTTGGACCGGAGTCTCCAGGAACACCCGGCACCTCCCTACCAACAGCGAAAGCTCACCAGCTCGCGCGGCAGACGTCGTGCGGAACGCTCGCGCGGCAGACGCCCAAAGCCTTGTTGGACAAGCGCCGGCGTTTGGGCTCACCTGCGAGAGACAAGGGTGGATGGGTTTGTGGACTGCCTGCTTGGTCAGGTGGACCTGAGTGCGGTTAGCTCCTTTTATTGAACAGGTGAGGCGGTGAGTAGGCGAATGAGATATTGAGCGATCTTGCAGAGAGTTGGCAGGGAATATATCCCTTTTGAGCCCAAATCTGGTCCTCACAAACTGTTGATACCCAAGATTCAGTCAAGAATCAAGAAGCAATGTATACCTGAAATCAGTGGCTAAATGAGAAGGTCTTGCCAGGGTTGAGAAGCCTTTCCAAGACCACTGGGACAGGAGCTCAACTACACCCAACTACAAACAAGATGGAGTGGGCCGCTTTTCGTCCGCGGCACGAAGAATCGACGACAGTCGGTATCGACGACAACCTGAAATCAGCTGTATTAGAAGTGAAAATGATTGTAGCGATGCCAGGAGCCCCTAGTAGCATTCGGGTTGATTTCTGATTAAGTTGAACGCATCTGTTCAATCTAGGTTCAATAAGTAGGCCAGGCCCGCAAGCACCCCTTGTCTGTGGCAGTCACAAATATTGAATCCTGCAGAGCAGGTCCTACAGCCCTACAGCTCCCAAGTGAAGGTTTGGTATATCGGTGATCCCCTCCTCAGAACTCCTGCCTCAAATCTTAGTCGGACCGTGTTTGACAAAGCCCATGCTCACCACCACGTTGAAAGACTGCTGGCAGTCCGCACTCAGCACTCAACAAAATGTGGCTTGTGATGATCCTCCCTCAACCAGAAATGCTTTTCCATTCTGCTCGTGGTGAATCGCTTCTCCCATACGGCCCGGTGCCAGCTGCGACGGCCCGCTGCGACGGTCAGAAGTCGCTGCTCCGTGGTCAAGGCTCGTGACCCGCTTTTTAGGCGGGAAAGAGATGAAGAGGGTCCCCGGCAACATGGAAATCGTTTCTGAAACCCTGCTCCTGCTCCTGATGATCATGTCCTATATATACTGTCCATGTGTGTATACATATATATATATATATATCTATTCAAATACAGTACGTACTTCATCGTATTTCTAGCATTTCAGCGAAGTACTCATGCAGAAAAAGGACAGCAGCCTTTGGTCAGTTCTTTTGGTCAATTCTTTTGGATGTTCATGCCCCAAAGACTCTAGTTACGATTCTGGGTCGAACTCTGCGGGGCACATCCCGCCGACGTGTGAGTCTCGGTCCTGACCTCCGCGGCGTGGCTCCTGGACCGGCGCACGGAGTCGCTCGGGTTGGGTTGGCTTGGTCGAAGAAGGAAAACCCTGTGCTGTTTCCGACCAAATGGACCCCTAGGCTTAGGCTTAGAAACCCCAAAAAAACAAACCACACCCCAAACAACGGCGGTGGAAAAAAAAAACGTATGTTGGGTTGACCACCCCTGGGGTCGTTCCAAGGGCCCGGACGATGCCAACAAACAGAACCCAACCCCCAACGCCAGTGACCGAGAGATGCGAAGCCGACGTACGGAACATGGATTCGAACGGATTCAAAGGACTCAAAAGTGGAGGCTCATGTCATTCCCGAGGCCAGGCTGGTCGCACCAGGAATCGAATAGAATGGTCTTTTCTGGGGACGAAAGAACACCTACTCTTTTTTGTTTGTTGGTCTTGAGCCGCACCATGATAAATGTCCACAGTTTACCTACTTGAGGATGGTTGTGTGATGAACGGAGATCCGAATCTATGGTACATACATAGCATTCCCACAAGGTCCCCAGAATCAAATAAACACACATAATTAATTTATCATAATTGAATATAGTAGCTGGTATTGATCTTGTTGAAACATCACACTTGTCTTGTGCAACGGGGTGGGATCATCGATCGTGCTCAAAGGAGATGGATCCCTCCCACCGATCACTCATGGATTTGATAGATCTTGGTAGGGTCCTACTGCCAGCAACCATGAAAGAAGATGATTTGTCAGCAAGGACCTCGTACCAAGCACCCAGCAAGATCACTGCCGCTGTTCCGTTCGTTCAGAGCGACCGCAGAATTTGGACGAATGCATGGGCCAACAGAGTTTAGGGCGGAAATGAGTCCTCCAACAGAAGATATTATGGGTTGCGATCTTGGTTGTTCGAGTAGCCCACCTGCGCTGAGTGCTGGAATCACCAGAACATGCTTGCTTGCTTGGCATCCATCCCTGCTCACCCCAGGTCATTTCTGCCATTGGCCAAGAATGAAGATGTCCAGGAACGACAGAGGCTAAGAATCCGAGCTCGAACTCCCCTTAAACTGCCTCTGCCATCTGCTCTCACGATCTGTGTGCTTGTTACACGACATCTGGTCGAGACTCGTCGAGCGTCTCAGTCCCAATGATGAAACAGTTCTGTCTGAGCAATCCCAACGAAACAGTCCCAGAAAGGGCAATGGTGTGTCTGGCACCAACACAGACCACACCCAAAATTTGTCTTGAGATTGACATTCACTATGTACTGACTACAATTGTGATTAGAGTTTTGTTGAAAACCACGCTAGTAGAAACACATTTGCACTCGACTCTCTGTTTACCAATCAAATGTCTAATGGATCTAGGGTGTTTATCTCCGGAATCAAAAGAGTATCACCCAGGTACCATCGCACTGAAGCCCCATTAGGTATCATATCTCATGGCGCAAACATTCTCCAACGTCTCCCGTTCTTGTAAGTTGGACATACATGGAAAGTGGAAAACGCACCCATGTGTACTGGACAATTGTCTTTGAGGGGTGCCTGCATTTCATCCAATTCCTGATTGGATTGGGTAGCATATTAATCTAATAACTTCGCCATCAAGTGAGACAGCTTCGTTCCCAAGGAGGTCTTCTCCACTGTGCATCATTTACGATCCACTTCGACACTGGACAGCGGCTCTTTGCGCCGATCCAGTGTCAGGTCACCAAAACCATCTGTAGCCAAGCCTTCAGCATGGGATGACAGCCAAACTGATCGCTTTAAAGATGGTGCTTCGCCTAAGAGACCCCAAACAAGAAAGTGGAGAACTCAGCACGTTGTGCACTCGAGCACCGAAACACCATCAACGATTTGCCTGGCCATGGTTGAAAGATTGGCCGTTTGGGGGTCGGGGGGTCAATTGGAAGACACATTCGAGTAGAGCTCTTCAGTACAGATGGCACAAACCCCTGCATTAGTTTTTAGATGGGATCCATATAACCCACTGGCATTGGGGAATGATTGTGCCATCTACTCTCCATCCACTATCACCACTTTTGGCTATCCAAGGACAGAAACAGGAGCTATAGAGCTATCAGAGCTGTGATTTGGGGTAGGACATAGCCATAGCTATCATCCTGCCCTTTCTGCTACAGCAGGAGCTATCGTCCCTGCCTGCTCACCCAAACTGTGGGCCAATCCCTCAAGTTGGCACCCAATCTGTGGAGCCCCAATGTTGACACATTGGTCTGGAGGGTCTCACTGTCTCACCCTTTGTGAGACTCCTGTGTCCCGAAACGCCTCTGTTCTCGACGGTGTTCTCGAATCGAAACTCTGTTCTCGACTTCGTGACGACGTGTCAGTTTGGGTCTTGTAAACTTCGTGTCGACGTGCATCTTTGAAATCACTCTGCCTGCATGCCTTGACCTTGACATCTTCTTTCATCATATGTGCACGATCGCGTAGACGCAAAGACGTTGGATCAATCCCCGCACTGCCCACCGTCGTGGGACACGGGTGATGCACGCCCGGGTCCAGGGTGATGCCCCCCCAAAAAGCTTCAACGAGCCCACTCCGCTCTTGACGACTCACAACCAGCCACACCAAAGTCTCCCAAAAATAGAAACAAATGACCCCCATGCTGCGCCATTGGACATTTCACATCTATTGCGTTTGATGTGCGATTTCGTGGTGTCTTGCGTCAAGAGACCCAAGACACCACTGATCGTTGACATCAGACGTGTTTGTCGTTGAACTGTGGATGACACGGTTGATGATGGCCTTGCCGCATCCGTGTCTGTTCCGGTTGAGCATTGTGGTTCAAAAATGCTACAGTTTGGTGCGCCCAAAAGCGTTTCAACTTGGCGTTTGAACTCATTTTCTGGTTCCTACCCCACCAAGTACCAAAACTCCTTGAATTAGTGGACACTTGCCATGCTTTCTACATTGTTAGTGGCCCATGCTCAGATGTAATGATGATTCGTTCAAAGTTGCCATATCCATCCATATCCTTAGACTGGCAGCCAATGTCCCCAGGGTGTTCCCCCCCGGCAAGCCGTCACAGAAGTCGTGAGACAGGTCTGCATCACTTCCTGGCTCAGCAGCTCAGCAGGCATTGCCCTCAGCCCCCGACTCACAGCTGGACTCCTCAGGCAGCGTGATGATGGATCCACGCACCACAGGATCACCAACAAGACAGAAGAGCTCCAACAGGATCGCCTAAAAAAGATATCCCAAACAAGTTGAGACGTCCACATACGTGCAAGTCATCAGCTTTCGGTCTTGGAGGAAGCAAAGAAAACCTCTGAAGCGAGTGGGCCCTGGGCCCTGTGATCATTGAATGGACCTTGGTGCAAAACAGTGTATATGACTGTGTTGTTTTCTGGGGACTTGGGGTATGGATGGGCATAAAGCCAAAATCATGCAGAAAGCATCCAACAAGGACTCGACCATGCAGAAACAATACAAAACCTGAAAACGAAAATGATAGAAAGGATCCAAACCACGCAAAACAAGAATCCAAATCCCTGAAAAGCAAAAAGGCCAAAACTCCCGGGGCATTGCAGGGACATGGAGACTGCGCGCAAGACTTGCAAAACCACGACGAACGACGCAAACCCGGGAAACGCATCTATTACAACGAAGAAAAGACATCTAGAATCCAGACTTGAAACCCAAAAAACTGCCAGACTTGCCCGTCGTCTGGCAACAGGAACCCACCAGTCCCACAGTTGCCCAGGCACTGACGAGGAGCCCATCTCCAGGTGCTTGCCCTTTATCGCACATGAAAAAGCACGTGACGCGCTCGTGATGCGCTCGTGACGCGTGTTGAAGGGAGAGATCTTGGAACCGCAAGGGTGCTTTGTTGGATGGGCAGTGCAGAAGTTGTTGCTTTTCTAGAAGTCCGTTGGCCCGGTTGGCCCCAGCATCTACAGTGTACGGGCTCCAGGTGGGAGTGGAGGGCGTGCTCCGAATGATTTTGAGAAGGATGGGCATAGACCCGATGGGTTGTCAGGCCATACCGCCATGCTTTGGGTCAGTGAGTCGATGGGTGGACAAGTCCCACCCAAATCCCACCCATGTCATCCACTGGCTCACTTAGCGGACCGGTGGCTACACCACCCCCGACCAGTTTCCAGTGGCCGAGTCGCATCGTCGCATGATCTGAGGGATGTTTGAATTTGTATCAGAAATGATCAGAACAGTGTTTGACCTGAAAACAGAAAAAAACACACACAAAAAAAAAAGGTGGCATCTTCTGTCATTTCCACCCTCCCATCCCTCCCACCGTCTCCAGCATGGTTTTACCCTTGCAAAAGACCTCTCCATACCAACCGGGAGGTTCGCCCCCGGGGTTCCACCGGTATTCAAGCGGTCCAAGCGGTCCAAACCCCCTGCCCCACCTTCGGGTCGCTGCCCCGGAAGACCGACCTCGGTCGCAACCGGACGGTGTGGAGCGGTGTAGTCCGTGAGGTGTTTCTATAGATGTTTACAAAAGCAGGTGCTAGAGGTGTCCATGAGGTGTAGTCCAAAAGCAGATGAGCTTTGGCGGCTTTGGTTCTTTATTTTTGAGGGAGCAGCTGCCCAGGGGAAAATGTCTGCGTCACCTCATCAGAAGAAAGTGATTGAATTCTGAAACATGTGGCATATTGTTGTCGACAAAACGATCGTCCCAGTCGAGCAGCCAGAACTGACAGCCCGCCATGATGTAGAGCACCAGTCCCAAGGTGAAGAAGACCTGAGAAATGGCAAATTCTTCAAGAAGAGATAGAGGATTGGGTGTATCCCATGACCACGCCCTGTGGATGATAATGGCTAGGTTCAAGGCCTTTATCGAAAAGAGTGATAATTGATCATCTTTTTACCAGCTGTTTCTGGTAATGTGACACACCGTCGATAGAGGATTGTTTCTGGTGGCAACATCGACCTCTTTGGATCGTGCCAAAAGGATGGAGGGATGAATCCTGGCGAAAGCATCGAAGGTCTAAAGACCAAACCTGCTGTACAAACCAAAATTTAGCATCCCTATCACAAGCCTCGTTGCCATGAGG